CAGTCTGAGCAATAATAAAAGTAATTGAGTAGGTTACCTGTGCAGACACAAGATTTATACCTCTTCATATTTGATGTGATTGTTTTATTGAGTTCTCTCTCCAAATAATTGGGACAGTATTTATTTATTCATTCATTCATTTGTTGTTTTCCCTCTCTTTCCTTCTTGGCATCACCCTCTAAAACCCACCTGAAGTTTTTGTTAGGAAAAACCCCTTCAGTCTACCTCTTCTCTTCTCAAAAGCTGCCTACTGAGATAGGAACTCAGTACAAGATAGTCTGAACTCCCACAAACCAGACAACAGGGAGACAGTCAGACCAATACAACCAATGGCCTAGAAGCCCACGTTAAACAACTAAGGATACAAAAATGGACTTTTCAAGAAGACAACTCTAAAATCAGACCAATGGCCACAAATGTTCTTCGTGTCACTCGAAGGATGGATGATATTTACCAGTGAGGACCTTCTCTTTGGAATAATGGATGAGCAAGAGGCTTCTGAGACAGAAACTGATCAGAATAAACCTCTATTTGTGACCACAATCCGCTAGTGAGGCCCAGGACCCCAATGGCAAGTTTGCTGTCTTTATTTCTCCAGCTCCTCTGTGGGAGAAGTCTTATTCCTATTTTATCATCTTGCCTTGGGTCTTTTTCCTGAGACCAACAATGCTGATAATCAAACAGCTGCAATGATACGGAGATATGACAGGTAATGTCACTCCTTTGTCCCAGCTTTGTGCCTAGCCAGGTCCAAGAGACAAATACACAGTGTTTGATAACCTGAGTTTCAGAGAGAAAGGATAAACCCTCATCCAGAACATGTCTACAGAACCCTTAAGACTGCTGCAATGAGTGACTCCCAGCTTACTTGGAAAGGTAACTGGTAGGCCACTGACTCCCCTTCCATCTCTCTGGTAAAAATCTGAGAATTAGCCAGGCGCTGATGGCTCACACCTGTAACCCTAGCTACTCAGGAGGCTGAGATCTGAGGATCATGGTTCAAAGCCAGCCTGGGCAGGAAAGTCCCTGAGATTCTTATCTCCAATTAATCACAGCAAAAGCCAGAAATAGTGCTATGACTCAAATGGTAGAGTGCTAGTCTTAACAAAAAGGAGCCCAGGGGCAGTGCCTAGGCCCAGAGTTCAAGGCCCAAGTTTGGCCAAAACAACAACAAACACACAAAAAAAACCCCTGAGAATGATGTGGGAGGTGGGGCGGGGAGGACACCTAAATGACACAGACTAGGATAGCAGCCTTCCTTACGAAAACCAATGTTGTCACTGCTAGGAGAATGAGTGTATTCACTTTGAGCAAATGAGCTAATGGATAACACAAGAGATTATTAGGTCATCAGTGAGCAGCAGACTCTGCAAAGGTCTACACAAAGATCTAGGAGCGGGAAGTCACTGGCAGTGAAGAGTGTAGAGAAGGCTCGAAGTAGGTAGAAAGTGATGACCTTATTGTCAGTTTATTCCAAGACTATACCCTCAGAGGATCATCAGTAATCCCTGACTCCATCTGGAGTTGATACTGTTCTTTTGAAGGAACTATTGCTCTATCCAGAGCAGTGACCAAACTTGAAGACTGGTATATAATGAGAGAAATCCTTCCTGCCTAGTCAATTGCTCAGCCATGTAACTAGGTGACTTTTCCCCTTTCAGTGCATGGATCTCCCTCCATCTCTTCCCCATTCCGGGCCATTTCCCACACCAGGTTTCAATCTGAAATCACCTATTTATAAACACTTGCCCACCACAGCAGTGCTATACAAAGATGAAGAGCTGTCAACTCCATGCTCAGCGATCAGTAATCAGATATTTAGAATGATTTGGGTAAATTCCATAGGCTAAGTAACCCAGTCAACTCTCAGGATTTTAGAAAGTGGTCTCTGGAAGTGGGGAGGCCTTCTTGACCCAATCTTTTGGCTCAGAGGCATTTCTATGAGGATTTGCTAGTAAGGAATAGAGATTGAACCGCCAAGCCTTTATCACGATAGGATCAGAAAATGTCAAAACCATTTCTAAAGTATGAAAAGCAATTTAGTTTGCAGCCATAATAACATATTTTTTTTTCTTTTTATTTTTTGTCCGTCATGGGGCTTGAACTCTGGGCCTGGGCGCTGTCCCTCAGCTCTTCAGCTCAAGGCGAGCGCTCTACCACTTGAGCTACAGCGCCACTTCCGGTTTTGTGGTGGTTTATTGGAGATAGGAGTCTCACGGTCTCTCCTGCCCGGGCTGGCTTTGAACCGTGATCCTCCGATCTCAGCCTCCTGAGTAGCTAGGATTACAGGCATGAGCCACCAGCGCCCGGCTCATAATAGCATATTTTAAGTGCGGCAACAGCATCTGTTTTGGGAAGGAAAAGATGAAAACCTTTGGCTCAGGTAAGTGAGCATGTGTGGACTTCCTTTTTTGCCAACTCCAGCTCCTGTACACTTTTACTCATAACTGTTACAAAGGACCCAACCTAAGTGTACAACTCACCAAAATGAAAGCCCCAAACTCAGAAACTCCCTGTTTTCAAGTGATCCTATTTCTGCACAGAGAAAATTCTCCAGGTTCTTCCTATACTGAGAAAGAACAATCATTGCTGGCATAACCAGCACTTGTAGAAACGCCCTGCTTTTATCTGGCATTAAGAGGAAAAACACCTCCAATAAACCTTCCCCATTAGAACGAAACATCTACAGGAATGATGCTACGAAGGGAGTGTCTAGGTGCATCTTGGTAGCTTGGAAGCACCAGAAGTCTTTCCAAAATATGAGGCATAGCGGGTCCTGCCCAAAGCTTAACTGTGGGGGCCAGGGCTGGCTGCCTATGCTGCCACTGGTTTCCAGGATCCACTTCACCATTCCCTGTCTTTCTCTAGCAACACCTACCCACAGATGACTATTTCTCTGCACCCAAAGGAAGTCTCTATGCCCCTCAAGTGCTAGGACTCTGTGCTGGGAAGATTCTGTGGCTGCCAAGCAGAAACAATTCTTTCCATCATGCATAGCTCACTGGTGGCTCACTTGTCTACTTTCTCCAAATTCTGGTGGGTCACCTCAACACCTCTGGAGCTCAGTCTTGGGGTTGCCAGTCCCCTGCTCTTCATGATTTTCAGGTTGAAACATCCCCAAACTTGTGTCTAAGACAGCTTCCAACAATGTTTCCAGTGACAGGGTATGTTTGAGAGGGAGAAGGTACAAGGGAAGTGCTAGCAAGGCTGCCGCCACACCTACCTTATTGCGCCACTCCACCTCATTCAAGACAAACAAATCACCATAACTATGTTTCTCTTAGATTCCCCCAAAAGCTTGCAGATACCATCACCGACAACAAGCATTTCTCAAAAATGTTCTCCACAGCACTATTGCTCCCAGTCCAGCACCATAGCTCCTTAGCTACTTGGCCTAAGACCAAGTAGCTGCTTTCCTCCTAAGACCTCAGGTCTATCTGCTGGTCAGGAGACAAAGTTTCTGAATGGCTCAGAAAACAATACTTTATCCTTTCTACTCATTAATTGCCTCATCCACTGAGCTTCCCCAGCCTCCTTCTGACTTTGAAATGCAAAACACTTATTCCTTTTTCAAACCACCTAGTCTTCTGAATGTCAAACCACCATGTTTTCAATACCTGGCTGAGCCAAGCCCAGGGAGCTTGAGGGTTTCAGAGGGTGTATAATTAGCTGATCAGTATTATGTTACCCTGTTCATAACTGAATAACCATTTTAATACAGATGGCACACACTGGGATAATTTCTGAGGTCGCCTCGCAGTACGTAACAGCATGAGTGTGGCACAGGGAATCTTCTTTAGCCAAGGTACATTCTACCAGCTAATTTTACCTGCTGTTTTCAGGATGATTTGGGATAATTCCATATCATTTGCAAAATATTAAAAAAATGTGACAGGTGATGCCAGTTTCAGAAAAAGGCATCATCTGAATTATTAGTTGTCCTGATAATGAGACTATGAGGAGTGCAAAGAATAACAGGGTATGCAACTCTTATCCTTTTTCTCTTTTACGGGTGCTTCAGAATGGGGGGAGGAATCAATTTGCTTCTGACTGGTGTCTGACTTGTGCAGATTCTTCAGATACGTGGTTGTATAGTTCTGCAATTGTAAAGGCACCTGGATACCTGGATCCAAATACTGCTTGTGTGTCTCATAATAACCACGGATAGGCACTTTGGCACATTGGCTGGGAAAAGTGTGTGCATGTGCGCACACACATGGAACATGCCCATGTGTTCTCCCAGGTAGCACATTAGAGTGGCTTGGGATTAAGAGACATAACTATCCTGTAAGTTGAGTTGACTCAAGTAAGCCTGTGTTATCTTCACCTGCCTGAGCCGGTTGTCAGCGCAAACTTCAGCCTTGAGATAGACATTCTAGGTGGTAGGAGCACCTTCCAAGGGTCAATCTCAGGGTCCCAGCTTTTCCTCCTTGCCTGGTATCCCACTTCTTGCTAGCTCTTCTTCTACTCCCTGCCAATTGCTGGCTGGTGGTTGGCATTTGCTTCTCAGACCTGGATGCCAGTACTTCTAGGCCGGAAGTTTGTGTGAAGCTGGCTAGCAAGACTGGGCTCCTGGGAGGTAAGCTTTGTGGGAGTTGGCTGAGAGGGTGAGGGAGCCAGGGCCAGCGGCTACCCCTGGGGAAGGGCACATGCCTTTAGAAAAGGAAGTCTGTTTGGAGGCAATGAATAGACACTGGTCATTTTAAAGGCTTTGCTATGAGCTGTGATTGTCTCTAGATCCCGAGGCGCGTAATCTTGGAGTCTTAATTACCACAAACACTTGGATTCATTTCCAGGATGCTGGCGGGAAAAGCCTGGCAGGGAATGCCCAGCTCGGAACTGGAGACAGTCCTGTCTGTCTGTCTATCTATCTGCTTTCCAGGTCCTCTCTCCCTGCCCAAAGGACTTCAGGCTGGGGGCTAGAAGGAAGGGGTGGAGACTGTACCAAGAGCAAAAAGCACCAGGGTCCTAGGAGCTGGGAGCCCTGGGAGCTTGCTCACCTGTTGATGGAAGAGACGCTGGGCACAGTGTCGTTGTCACAGATGCCTTCAGCCAGGAGCCGGTCACGGATCTCCCAGGCGAACATAGTTGGGTTCTGTCGTTTGTATTCAGCAATCTTGTCCACCACTTTGGGCGTTGCCACCTTGGGCTTGGAGCCACCAATCACACCAGGCTTGATGCTGCCAGTCTCGTAGTACCTGCGCCCAGGGAAGGCCGGCGGGATCAGCAAGAAGTGGGCAGAGGCAGGGGGGCTGCAGGCTTCAAAGCTGCTAAGCCACTCTCCTGCCCCAAAGGCCCAGTGTGGCTGAGCTGACTTTCCAGAGGGTGCTTGGCTAGGGTGAGGGATGATGGAGACGATGAGGGGAAGAACTAGGGGGCACCTCCCTCTTGAAATGCAGCCACTCCAGGAGCTGGGTGCACATGGATTAGAAGTGGCTTCCATTTGGGAAGGAGGGAGGAAGGGCCCTTGGAGGTCTCTCACTGACCAGGGCTGAGACACTACCTCCAGCCCTTGCCTAGAGAGGACAGAGCCTCTTAGGCAACTAGGACCCACTTTTGACCTCCCCAGTGCTACCTTTCCACCTCCTTGGAAACCTGTTCTGTTCCAACCGGCTTCCTCCAACCCCTTCCCACATTAACAGGCTGGGAGAAACAGCTCTCCATGTAGGAAGCGTCCTATAGGGCTGCCTTCCCGCATGAGCCCTAGAAAAGGCGTTAAGTAATCCCTAATCCACCCTCCCTCCTGAGGCTGGCCACCGTTTGAATGCCCTTTCCCAATGGAGTCTTTCTTTCGATCTCTTCCACTTGGAAGTTTCCCTCTCCCGCTTGGCTCCGGGTAACTTAAATCCCAGTCCTTGGCAGGGAAGGAGTCAGGGCGTCTCCAGGGACGGCTCACGGCCCTCACCTGCCCAGGATTTTGCTGACACAGCCGTGGCTGACCCGCAGCTGCCGCGAGATGTCACAGGGCCGCACGCCCTGGTGGGCCAACTCCACGATGCGCTGCCTCACCACGTCGGGGAGGGGCCGGCCGTTCACAAACACCCCCCCGAGCTGGTTCACACCCCCGTGCCCTGCTGGGGAGAGACAAGAAAAAAACACAACACCCCACACACAGTAGGGGACCGGTCATTAGTCAGGGTCCGAGGCCCGGGACGTGCGAAAGGAGCTGGCAGGGCTGAGGGGGGAAATGTTCCCGAACTCTCAAAGAAAGGTAGGGGAGTGGAGATTGGAACCCGCGGACGGTGGAGACACGGAAGCGCAGGCGCTGGGGGAGGGAGGGGAAAGAATAGGACACCGGGGACGAAGTGAAGGCAGGAGAAGCCAGGAGAGAGGAAGAAGAGAAAGAGGGAGAGCGGGCCCGGGGGGAATTAATGTCAGCGGGAATGAATGCAGGGAACGGGGAGAGAAAAGGCCTGGCTGCGCACGGAACTAGTGCGCAGCGAGATGCCGACTGCACCGGCCGCTAGCGAGAGGCATATTCGCTGCGTGCGAGGGCTGAGAGGTGGTTTTGATTTGGGGGTTTCAGGGTCCACCTGAGTCTACTCAGCATAGCCGCGAGCACTGAGAGAGGCCGTGAGACACACACACACACACACACACACACACACACACACACACACACACACACCAGTGCTTCCTGCCTCTTCCCTGTATTTATTTTGAATTGGAATTCTACATCTTTCCCTGTTTGATTCTTTGCGTTTTCTGTCATAGAAATGAGAAGCTTATAGTTTCCCCTTCCCCTCTCTAAAATCAAAAGTGGAAAGAAAATCAGGTTTGAAGGGGAAGACAGAAGAGGTAGTGGCTGGGGGATTTGCCGAGCTTAGAGACTGGGACCGGCCGAGCCAGCGGTGCGGCTGGCGGTGGCAGCAGCAAGAAAAAAAAGAAAAAAGAAAAGCAGGCTGCGGAGGTTCGGTGGCCAGCCGCGGTGCGCCAGGCTTTGGATCCACCGTCTAGTGCTGGCGGCACGACACAGAACTCATGGGCACCCCCTGCACCGGCCCAAGCCAGTCAGATCGGTCTCATCTCCCAGACCTCGGTGGCCAGCCGGGAAACCGAACAGCAAAGACGAGTCCTCCGGACTGAGAGCAAGCCCTGGATTTCCAATGCAACCCAAGGCGCCCGTGCGCACCCAGCCTTGGGGGGCAAAGAGGCCACCAGGCGCCAGGTCCCAGGGCACGACCCTGTGCCCCATTCTCCCTGGCCACACAGCAGCCTGGAAATCCTGCACCCAGAATGATCAACCTGCGAGCTCAGTTACTGATCAATCCAGACGATCAGACTTCTAGCCAACGAGTCGGGTCCTACCAGGCCAGCAACCTGCAGGCTCTGTCCTGCTAGCCTCCAGTCAATTTCGGGGAAAGCGGGAACATCCTATGCCCCTTCACTTGTCTCCCGCCTCTTCTGGGGCGACCAAGAGCAAGCCTGGGCAAAACCCCTGGGCAGGGACCTCTGGATCAGGCGGCTCGCAGCGGTTGAAACCTCTTACTTGGCCCCCTACCCCTGTAGTCTCCCCATTTCCATTCCCACTCTTCACCCCTCCACTCCTTCCAAACCTCGACCATCAATAATTTAGGCCCCGGGAGAACTCGCGTTACCAGTATGAAAAGGCGGCAGCTGCGGGCAGATTAAAGATGAATAATTCAGCCTCCCCAGGCTCTCCGCACGGCCCCTCTGCCCCAATCTAAGGGGTGGGGATTGGAAGAAGCATGGTAAGAATCCAGGGCCAGTGATCCTCCCGGAGGACCCACGTTGAGTCGGGCTTAAGATGCACCACTGCCACCGGCGCCGATCTGGGCCGCGGCGGCTCGCAGGCCAGACCTCGGGCCCGTGGGCCCGCGCTCTGCCGCGCTCTCGCCTTCTTCTGACCACCTTCTACTGTCCTTGTTCCCTTTTAGGTTTCAAAGTGACTCCCAGTGGGCGGCCACTCGAAGGACCACCGGAGCAATCCGCAGGAGAGGAGAGCCAGAGCAGTGGTAGCCGGCCTGGAGGCTGCGGTCTGGACCAGCACCGTGTGCAGACCCAGCTCTACTCTCTCCGAAAAGGACCCTGGCTTTCCAACCGGGTGGCTGGCGGAGATCTGCGGCGGCTTGAAGCCCGGGTGGGGTTTCTTGTGCTGATATGCTGAGAAATATTTAGGGAAATGTATTTATCCCAGGATTTAAAAATGTATATATTCCCCTGTAAGGCTACATTCATCCCTTACAGACAAACATAGCACTCTCTGCTTGACTGTCTTGTCTCAAGCACACATAGGAACCAGGTCTAAAAAAGTTTCCTTGTGAAAAGTTACAAATTATTCTTAATTATTAATCTACAGATAGGGAGGAGTTTTCTATTTAGAACCCTATTTTTTGAATAGCCTGCTTTTAAAAAAATTTCACATATAGTTTTCCAAGCTAAGACATGACAAGAATTAAATTCTAATTGTATGAAATATTTCTCCCTTTCCTCTATTTTTCTATTCTCTCCTTTTTTTTCTATAAAATCCTTTCCATTTTCTTTGATTTCCTTCCTCTTGTTTTGATTTATTTTTCCTTTTCCCTCAGCATTGGCATTTGCCTTCCTTTTGTTCTTTCCCCGTTGGTTATTCTCTTTGCTGACCCCCTGGCAAGGGGCCTGGCTGCTTGATCCTCAACAAGGAGTAGATGGCCAGCAAGGAGTCTCCAAAACTGAGACCGGAGCCCAACTCTGCCTAGGGACAAGCTTGGAAGGCTTGCATAGCTGCTCTCTCCCGGACTTCGATTTCTTCTTGGAATTCCTCTTTGTTTTTAGAGCATCTCCCAGGGCAGAGGCAGGGAAAAGTGACCAACCATCCCCTTCTGCCAACCTCAGATTCACAACTCAAAAGAGAAGGAAAGGAGGAGAGGAAAGGGCGATGGACAAGAAAGAGGAAGGAAGTAGTTCAAATCAACTCCCAAGAAGCCTTGACTAGGCTGGAAAGGCCAAGAGATACTGAGAGCTGAGGGTCAGAAGGGGGCACCCCACCCCCATGCTCTTCTAGCCCAATTGTCCTGACACAGGGGTTGCCCGGACTAGAAGTCTCATGGTGAACCCTCACAACTCTTAAGTTTTAATAAGGTAGGGGTGGGGAGGAAATATAGGGAAGGGAGGAGGCAGAGATAGGGAGAAAATACACTCACACAACACCCTGAAAACTGCCTGCCAATTAGTTTTCCAACCCAAGATTAAGAGCTGACTAGAGAGCGAATGACTGGAGCTAGGGCCCAGGGCTGTGGATCCCTCGACCTAAGGAAAAACAGGTGAAAAAAGCAAAGCAGGTGGTGAGAACCAGGGAAGGTAGGAAGGCAGGCAGAGGGACATGCATGGATACAGAGGGCAAAAGACAGAGCGAGAGAGACTGCTTGAAAGCACACGCAACACCATATGAGAGAAAGAGGAAGAACGAAAGGGGGGGACCTGGAGAAAGCGCTGGGGACCGGGCCGCGCGGGAGGCTAGACAGGGTTGGAACCGCGCGACAAGGGGACAGGAGCCGGGCGCCGGTACTCACGGTGCATCGCGGAGAAGGGGTCGGCTTTGCAGTGCATATCCATGGGGAGGCAGAGAAGCGGGAGCAGCGCGGCCGCCGCCGCCGTGTCGCCTCGCAAACTCAACTTCAGGACTTGAGGAGAAAAGGGAAGGACGGTGGGGGAGGAAGGGTAAGCGGGCGCCCGGCTACTGCGGGGCGCGCGGGGACCGGGGACGCGGTGCTGCGCTCCCCGCCGGGTCTCCCCCCCCTCCCCCGGCCCGCCGGGGCTTGCAACCGCAGTGGCCGCAACTTCCCAGCGTCGGGACGCGGGGCTGGGCGGTCAATAGAGCGGTCCCGGGGTGACGGGCAGGGCTAAGGGGAACTGGGGGCTCATGGCTCGCACAGCAGCTTGGGACCAGGGCTGAGGCCGAGCAGGGAAGGCCGCTAGCTCCGCTCCCCCTGGAACCTGGTCATCTGAGAGGCGTTGATTGGAAGAAGGCGCTGGGCGAGGGTGGCCCGAGGGCGCCGGGAGGGGAGCTGGGCCGCTCCAAGTGACGACGAGTTGGCGAAGTTGGCAGAGAAGTAGCAATCCCCGGGATGTCCGAGCGGACGCCTGCGGGAGGGGAGCGCGCGAGCCGGCCCCCGCCCCCAGAAGAGGCAGACGCGCGCCGCGGCGGCCGTGGGGCCGGGAGGGAGGGAGCCAAGCGGCGCTGGCGGCGCTAGGCTGGCCCCAGGTGGGTTGCGGCGGCGAGAAGACTCGGCCGGAGACTGGAGCCTCGGCTCCCGGTGTGTGTCTCTCTAAAAGCTGCAAAGCCCCCTCCAGACCCCCTCCCCCTCCCCGCGCCGGGAGATGGATGACTTGTCAGACAAAGGCAATAGATTCCACCACTCTGTGATTCGCCAGCGCCGGAGCCCCGAGCTTCGGCGAGGAGGGCCCCGCGCCTGTCACTCCGGTGCTGGCGAAGGGAGGGCAGGGGTGGGGGAAACGGGAGGGAGGGAGGGAGCTAGGGGCGAAGGAAGAGGGAGGGAGAGGAGCGGGCTGGGGGTGCGGGGGGGGGGGGGGAAGAGGAGGAATGAGAGCCCGAGATTAAAACTACTCGGAGAAACGAAACTCGCCGATAAGATAAACGTTAGATAAGGATAAAGCGGGGCCAGTCTAATGAATATTCAGGCTACCAGCGAAGGCCGCCTCGCGCGCCTCGCACTGGAGCCGGGCTTCTCAGTCCCAACTCGCCCAAGCCCTGCCATCCACCGGCCAGTGCCCGCCCGCCCGCAGGAGCCGCTCCGCCCCGGGCCCGGTCGGCACCTCAAGTCCTAACCCGACTACCCTTGGCTCTTGAGTTCCCTTCCGTTCCTTCCAGGTTCTTCTTCCCTCCCTCTCGGTCTCTGATCCTTCCCTTTTCGCCTTTCCCTCCCTTGATACCCTCCAATCCTCGCACCCTCAATTCCCGTTCCAGGACAAAGTGCCCAGCAGTTGGTCCTCTGCTGTTCCACACGTGGTTAGGACCCCTCATTCTCTGGCTTTTCCTGGGTCAAAGCAGAACCCCGCTAGAGGCCTCTGGCAAGGACCCACCTGCTTTGGTGGGACCCACCCGATGGGCGGAGGAGAACCTAGGGGGAGACTGCACTCCTTCCTGGACCCTCGAGTAACTGGGGAGAAGGATTGGGAATCTCAAGCCCGTGCGGAACTGCTGGTCGCTGGCTGCAAAGGATGCGGGAGACCAAGGCGTGTTCAAGGTTCCTTCTCCCCGGCTGGGAAGAAGAGGAGGCTGCGACCCCGCTGAGCGCCGCCTGCTTCTCGCTCTGCGGATCCCGAGCGAGCGCCGCCGCAAGCGCAGCACGCCGGCCTTGGCCCCACTCCTACCCGAGCCGCGGGCCGGGCCTCCGCAGCTCTCGCCGGCACCCGCTCCCTGGCTCGCTGGGGTCCGCTCGCGCACACTAGGCAGGAGAAGCCCTTTGTCTTCTAACTGGTTAAGTACAGAATATCCGGGAGATCTTTATGAAATATTTTCCCTCGTCTCATAAATCATCTTGGCACTTCAGCTGATGTTTTAACTCTCTCTCCCTCCTTTGCTCCCTCCTCCCGCTTCCCTGGGTCTACGAGAGGGCGGCTCGGGGAAGCTCGAGCTGCGCTGCGCTCGGGCTGCTGGGTTTGGGGCGCCGTCTGCTCCTGTCTGCAGCTCCTGGCACCTGGAAGAAGGGCCTAGGACTCGTGCCGCTGTCCCTTTGGCCAAAGCCTGGACACTAGATAGGCTCCAGGACCGCACCCGCTTGTCACAGCCTGACTCCTACTGGGCATCTCGGACCCTAGTTTTTCTTGGTTCTCTTTACTCCTTGGGTGGGTTTTACATCAGGCTCAGCCTCAAAGGGCTTTGAGCTTCCCACTGAGGGCTGGGTCCTGGCATTTGCCCTCCCTTCTGATTGTACTGAGCCGGGTCTGCTTTTTTCCATCTACAGAGTGACTTCGAGAGACGAAAATAATTCCCTTTCTCCCCCCCCCCTCGCCCCCCCCCCCCCCCCCCCCCCCGCCAACCCCGTCATCCCATCCCAGCCTCTGTCCGCACTTCCTTTGGGCTGCGAAGCAAGATTCCCTGAATTGAAGGTGCTGGGTCCAACCCCGAAGGCCAATCTCTTCCTCTCAAGGCCTGCAGATGGCGCTCCGGGGTTTGCTTTGGCCTCACAACCCCACGAACTCGCACTAAGTTCGAGTGGAGAGAGAGAGAGAGAGAGAGAGAGAGAGAGAGAGAGAGAGAGAGAGAGAGAGAGAGAGAGAGAGAGAGAGAGAGAGAGAGGAAGAAAAAAAAGGAAAACAAGAGTTCCTGTTGCCTAAAGGGTACAGTCCCCAGCCTGGGAGGCAAGAGACTTTGGAGTGATAGCTGGTACAGACTTGGGCTTCCTTGGGGAAGGTAATTAACCCAGAATTGGAGGTAGGAGCATTGAAGAAGGGTCCTATAGAGAGGAGCCCAGAGAGGAGTCTTTGCCCCCAGGTTTTCATATGTTGGCCATCCAGTAAATTAAGTCTTAGGAAGTCTGAACTCTGGGAGGGACCAGCCTGTGGGTGGAATCTCTCGCAGAATCTAAATAGATTTAGATGTTTCTGGAACAGTGTTGTACATACTGTGAGCAGAGACAACAGACATTTCATGTATTGGGAAGGTGCTTCCACATTTTGTAAAGAAGCAGACTAGCAATGCACACAGTGCACTGGAAGTTGCATTTCTATACCTCTCCTTCCCGTTCAACCTCTCAGGAGTGGTGAACCGTAATAGTCAAGAGAATTCTGGCATACTCCCTGATCTTGGTGCACCCTTCCCAGCACTACACTATCTGGACACTCACACCAGACACAAACCTTCTGCAAGGCCAGCCCCTGGCAGCTTCTTCCTTAAGTCCCTGGGCCTAGAAAGTCAAAGAGGAAAAAAAAAATATATCAACGAGCAACACTCCCTGATAATTTCGAAGACCTGTTAGCCAACACTACGCCTTCTCTTCTAGGCTTTAGGATGAAGGGCTGACTTGCACATTTCTCTCATTACTGATCTCTCCTTCTATCTCCTTTCCTGCTCTTCTTTTTATTCTTTCAATAGTGTCTGTTATTGGGGAAAAAAGCAAGACAAGAAGAAAGAAGAAAGAAGAGGGAAGGGGAAAAGAAAAAGAAAGAAAGAAAACAACCCAACCCCAAACACAACCAGGGCTCCAACCTGTCAGGGTTGGTTGCTTTTCCGTCTGCCTCTAAATGAACCTTTTCTCTCTGGTGTTTTCAAAGCGGCCCTTCCACCCCACCCCACCCCCAACCTAGGGGCATTTACACTTCAAACAAGGCACCCGCCTCCCTGCGGAAATTTAAAGGCAAATAAACTTTTGGGGAGTTGCTCTGATACCCATCTCGGGATTTGCTTCATTAGCCGCCTCTGTGCATCTGATCTGCCCAATAAATCTTCCTTGTGGATCTCGGCTCCTTCGCCTTCTTCGCTCCCTTCCCTGCCAAGCTCGCCTGGCGCCTGGCGTCCCCCACTACAACCGCCTCCCTTACGGGCTTGAGTCTCGGGCTGGACCACGCCTGCTCCGCCTGAGTGAAGGTCTCTGGGAAGCAATGGTCCCCAATGTGTATCCTCGATCCAATATACCTATACATAGGTGCCCTAAGCCACGAGTGATTTTTTTTGCGGGATCTGTGTGCCTGCCTTGCATGGATCCTGTTCGGTACCTCCCCCCGTCCCCCTCCCCAATGCTTCTTTAGACACTGGTGCTTGGTTTCCGGTTTCCAGGTCCCTGGCCTAGAGCTTTCTGCCCGGGCGAGAAGAGGCAAAGGCGAGGCTACTTCCCCTCTATCTGCTGGGCGCTGAGCCGGGGCCTAGGCACCCAGCCCAGAGCAGTGCGGGAAGGGGGAGGGGATGAGGGGACAGGAGGGGGCTGTCTAGTAGAGGTTTGGGGTTGCAGCGGAGCATCCCAGCTGTGCCCCTCCCCCGCGGCCTGGGCCTGCCTTCCTCCTTCCATCTCCCAGAGAGCAGCTCGGGGAGCTAGGGACAGGACTGTGAGCGAGGGGATTAGAAATTCCGAAATTAAGTGTATCTCCCCAGGAAATGCTCCCTACAGCGCGGACCAAATTAAACGCATTAAAGTTGGGGGTGGGTGGGAGGGAGGGAGAGAATCCGTTTAGAATCCAAGGAGAAAAAACTAGTCCGAAGGGAAGAAAAGAAGAAGAGACAGAAGAGAGAAGAGAAGTGAGCAGCTGCTCCGCAGCCGAGCTCCTTGTCTGGAGGATTCCCAGTTTTAGAAGTCACCACCACCGCCATCAAAAAGAAAGAAAAGTTCTGAAGATCAAACTCGGGGCGGACTCCTGAGATCCATTTGCCCTCGGGGTCCAGTGCGCCCCGGACCGCATACCCTTGACGGCGGGATCGGGGCAGCCCGTGTACCAACTCCGGCCCCTCTCTAGAACCGCCTGACCGGCTCCCGCCGGGCCTCACCCCTCCTCTTCCCCATTCTCTCCCTGCCCCTCCCCCTGCCTAGCCCTCTGGTCACGTTGGAGGATGGTTTTTTTTTTCTTTTTGGAAGAGCTTCTGGTACAATATGGAGCACCATGGGCTGCAATTTCACACTCCACAGCACATTCCCCCTAAAGCTACTTGCTTTTTTTTTTCATCTAAGAC